TATATGAATTATTTCATATAAACTTCACATCAAACTTTACTGTTAGTACAAAGCAGGAAAGAATGCCAGTTATTAATCCCAATATGCTCATCCATCAGGATTATGTCGTTCACCAAACAATACCTGTAGTATGTCCTATTTCAAACTCAGTAATTAATATTTCCCTTAGCTAGAGCAGTTTCCATATGAGTGTTGAAAAGTAAATGGTTTTGTACTTACTATGCTACACGATTGGCTTAAAAAACTCGCGCCAATTTTTCATCCAATCAGAAGTAAAACCAAAACCAATCATGACTCGTTCTTACGCGTTTTCTCGCGCTTCGCGTCAGCTACTTGCAATTACTTCGAGTTTTGATTGCTTTATTGTATTGTCTGTGTCCTTTGTGATTGGCTGGAGTGATTAGTTTGGATTAAAATTTACGACAGTAATTTGGTAATTATCATGCAATAGAAAGAAAAAAAGCCCACAAATACTGACAAGAAAAAAATATCAAATAAAAAGAACAAATAATGACTAAAAGATTCAAAATATCACCAGAATAGCAATTTTGATTTCTGGACAGCTTGTCACAAAATTTACACTTGATGAACTGTAATCCAGTTCCATCATTGTAACCCTGCACTCCTATCCCAAATTTATATATTCTAGTTGCTATGTAGAGTCTTTTTATCCAGTTTATTTGCATATTTAGTAGCGTTTGGCAATATAAATGTGCCGTTCCAGAAAATTTCCACACCCCTCACTCTGTTTTTCTTTGGTTCACCAACCCCCCCCCCCCTCCCCCCCAACAATATACTTTCCCTTGGAAATTTTGGCTTTTGAGATCCCTTCTATCCTTGGGGTGAGCATGGATATTTTCTGGAATCAAACCCTGTGGAAACTAAGAGAACTCACAATAATCAGGATGGACACTGTCCCTTTCAACCAAAATACCTCCCAGTAACAGACATTAAATCTACATCCAAATCAACGTGTAATCAAATGTATTTTTATAACCTTTCACATTGTCATCTGGTTCTTCTACAGGAACTGTAAGTTTATCCAGCGACACAAATAATCCGGCTCCTGGAGAACACCTAAAATATCTTTGACACCTGAATACTCCATCTGTCGTACCTCTGTTCCGAAAGCGAGGATCCTAATGAACAGAATTCAAAAGGGCATGTTGGTATCTTATGACTCTTCTTTGATATCATTATATAACGATGGCAACCTTAAAGCAACCAAATCAGTAAATGTTCATTTGTTTGGGTTTTTTTACTAATGAAGGAGTGGGGCTAAGACTATGTATGTACACTCAAGCCACAGCATATGCATGTGGCCTTCATTGCCCAAGTTTTTTTTACTTCCACTGTTTGGTGCACACTGTTTTCTGAGCAAAACAAGGCCAAAAAACGAGTCTGTGCCAAATGAAAGAAAGTTG